TAAGATCCTTTTAGATAAAAGTAATAGATTAACAGTACTTTGAGTAGCAACCATTTGTCATTCATGACCCTGAAAAGGCACTCAGCATCTGAACATGTGAACAGAGAAGATTGATAAAACCTGGCTTAGAAGCCTGTAGGAATTGCCAGTATTGAACACTGGGGGGAAACCTATCTACCATGAACAATTACAATTACTATTTTTTAATTACTATTTATTAGAGCGGAAGTTACAAACATGGGTAAGATTCTATGTAATGAAGGCAACATCATCACATTAACTTAGTATGTTGACATGTAATAAATAAAGCGTACTAAAATGAAAGCTGAAAGAATCAGTGTACTGAACTTAAAACTGGTCCTCTAGATCTTGCTAAGGGACTTTGTCCAAAAGCAATTGTGGCTGTCTTCTAAATATAGCCAGCTGAATAAATGCGGATATAAATCAAGCTCCTAGACTGCGTTTTCACATTTTTACCTACATGCAGCACAAATCTGACAACATTTGACAATTCCTCTGGAAATTATTTGTAAGCAAACTCATACTAAATAGCTATCTCACTGCACGTGCCTTCAAAAGGGCACATTTTGAAATCTTGTGAACAAATTTTCAACCTATACATGGGGACTGTCAGCATGCTGACAAGCATTGCCCTTTCGCTATCTAACACTCAGAGCTTCGCTTAGACAATCATTCAGATTCCTAGAAGCACTACATCTAGCACAAGTTCAGTGAAATCCATCCTCCCAAAGACCAGCAAGTTTTCAGAAACACCTCTAGAATTGTAAATAGAAAAAAAGCATTTTTCCAGTGTGGGTTTTACAGAAGATAGGGTTTTTCTCATATTTGGAAATCTATTACTTCCCACAATTGAGTATAAATGTCCCCCCCACCTTCCAGTCCCATCATTTTAACAATCTGATCGAGGAGGCACTTCAAATGCTTGCTCTAGGATTTACATAGCTATTTTTTTTTCCAATGACTCATTATTACTATATACTGTAACTTTGATATTTACATGGTTCCCTGCATTTAATCAGAATATATCACTCTTGAGATCTCAATCTGTAACCTTGCAAATTCTTAGCAACTGGTCCATGAAAGTTTGTCTGGCCCTGGGGAAAGTTTTGGTCCTCTGTTATCCAAAAGGCAAACACAGATTCTGGTTTTGTGGCTCACTACACCAGTTAGATATTCTAACTGAAGGAATTACCTAAGCAAAAAAAACCCCGGTATTTCATATACCTTTTAATGGTCAAAGGGCTTTCTTCTCCCACTTCTGTATAAAAACTTAAGAGCTATTATATAGTAGCTGTTCAGCATCCTCTTCTGGGCTCTGCTCCGCGGAAAGTATCTGAGCAGGGGTTTGTCTGAATTATCTCAAGAGGAAATAGAGGGCATCCTCTGACATCTGCATCCATCTCTCTTCTCAACATTAATTTCCTCTCATCTCCTGTAGATAAGTATATGAAAAAGTTACTTGAAATGAGTTTGTTGGGGGGCAGGGAGTGACAGGGTATGGGGAGGTAGCTGTAAGGTATCCACCAACGAACTGAAAGCATAGTAAATTGTGAAAGAGCTGTGAGTAACAATAGCCAGAAACGCAGCAATCCTGTATGGAGATCAGATGACTACCTGTATAGAAATTCACTAACTTCAGACAGTAATTCCCACCCAGATGTACCACACATTGAGTTGCCTAACAACATTTGTTATCAACAAAATAGCCACCTATCTGCTAATGCCCATGACAGACACTTTGCTATCCAATTAAGTAGACAAATACTACTCTTCAACTGCAGCTGCGCGGTGTTTCTGAGCTAAACTGAACAAACCTTTAACTGCTGAGAAGTCGCACTCTTTTTATGCCACGTTTATACTTTTTAAAACACTTACCATTCATCACTGTAAGAACTGTGGCAACTAACCTCACCTGCCAGAGACCTGTCAAATTCAGTCACCTTAGTTCTGGTGTCCCTCTTTCTCACCTGTCCTCTGGAGGGTCTCCTGAAGCGGTGAGCCATCATGAGGGGTAACATCTGGTGCTGCCATGGTGGTGTGAAGTGTCTTGAATTTCACTTTGTTGTGGAACATTTTCTTACATTTTGTTTGTATCTTTCTGAGCGATTCCAGCTGCACGCAACTGTCCGTCTCTGAAAAGCCACATTCATCAGATAAAAGATTAGAAGAAAGCTTTTTTCGCTTTTTCTTCATTTTGCGAGCATTTCCCTCCTCTTCCCTGGATTGTCTCTCACTTTTCTGTCCTTCATGTCTTAATTTACTACTAGACCTCTTGCACGACTTTTTAAGCTTATGTTCACACTGCCTTGCCAAGCCCTCATGGACAGAATTAGAACAGAAGCTACATTTGCTGCTTTCCTTCTCTTGACCTTCCAGAGCTACATTTTTAAGGTAAACCAGTAATTTTCTTTCCCCGGCTCTTGCAGGCAAGAACCCTTTATTACAATTGCTGTAAATTTCTTCACACCTTCTTTCTGTTCTCTTCATTAAGCTGCTACGTGCCTCTCTAAAGTACTCAGAATCACTGATCTCTTCCAACAAATCCTTTAATCTGCAAGCAGATCTACATGTCCTGTACAGTACAGTACCTTCATCGCTATTGAATTCCTTATCATGAGTAACAGCAGCGCAATCCAAAGAATGATTCAGTCCAGCATGTGGTAAATTATCAACAGTGAGTGAGTCATTCCTCTGCACTTGCAACTTTTTTGCAAACCTACCCCCATAGGTCTTGTTTTCTAACACTCTGTCTGTTGACTGAAGTTCCCCAACAGTGATCACCAGTCTGTAATTATCATCGCTACTACAGTTTCTCTTGTTGAGGTTTTGTACAGGACTCACTTCTCTGAAGTGCTGACCATGTTTGTTACTCAAGCTGATGTCAAAATCGCTATCATCACCAGACACCACTCTCTTCCACCAGGACTTGTTCACAATGGTTTTTGGCTCTAAGCAAACACGTGCATACCGCGGTGTCTGATAGTAGTTCAGTAAATAATGGATGAATTCATCAGTCTCATAAACCTTCCGCTTTTTGCAACCGTCTTCATCAGACGCTGTCTGCGTGTGAACTACATTCAGAGTTGGGTAGTCCCTTCCATCGAGAGATTCGATGACCCTGCAGTCCTGCGTAACTGTAATCAGTAAAGATCCATAGCCAAAGGAGTTGTACGCTTCTCTGCCAGGCAGTCCATCAGAACTCGGGGCTGTAGAGGGATCATTTAAAATCGTCCTGACTATATGACAAGTGGATGCATGGAAGTTACTCACATCTCCTTCCTCACTACATAAGCTGCTACCTTTTGGGGTTAACAGGCACTTGAACTCTTCCTTATGTTTCAACTCTTTGTGCGTATGATAATGGGAGTTAATCAATTCCTGATGTATGTCTTTTAATGCTGTTTCAGAAAAGGAATCGTCCTTCCTTATGCCCAATGAAGGATCCACTTTTTGACTTGCCAACTGCGCAAAATCCTTCAAATAAAAAAAAAATCAGGAAAACGATTATGTACATTTATTGAGCGCTATAAAGAGTGCTAAACTGCAAACTCATAAGCAAGCAGTCCCACAGTCAGAAGAATTGTACAGGTGAGGGCTAAGTTTGGCTTCATTCAGAGCTCGATCGTACAATCTCACTATTCCTAAGTTAGAACTACAGATACTTCATCATCTCAGAAAGCTGCATTCTCAATTAAAGAAAGCGGTCCTTTCAACCAATTCATCTATCTCACTGCAACAGCGTAAGAAAATACTTATCCTTTGTTTGATCACAGCATCACAACAACTAGTATTGCGTGCAACAGTAAAATTACCACGCTTTTGTAGATCAAATATTTTATTTAGAATAAATTGCTTTGTTATACATTGCTTTAAAGGAGTTCAAATACAACCAATCTAAAGCTTTCCACGTGGTGAAACCAAGAAAATAGAAGTTTATTTAACACATCACCTTCATAATTAAGAAGGCCAATGTCAGACATCGTGGGGCCCTAAAACTCATGCAGAATGGCAAGGGTAGCCTCTGACTTCAGCTCTTAGTAAATTACAGTCCTTTAGAAATCTTTAACATTAAGGATTGTGGAAAACATACACTTGGTAAAAGCTGCAAACAGATTTTTACTTCGCAAATAGTGAAGACAAAGCCATGTTAGCACCCCTGAGAAATGAAAACCCATTTTCTTTTTTTTTTTTTTTTAGCCCAAAGCACTAAAATAAACCTCCAAACATTAATGTGTGCAAAACACTCGGAACTTTTATCACTCCTCTGCTGACTTTCTCAAGACCTTAGCTGAATCAAACTGAAATAAAACTGCTAGCTTAGTGTTGGCCACAAAAGAGAGGCTATTAGAAATGCAACTGGCATAATCTGTGTCAATTTAATTGTGTCACTTGCAGACCTGAGATCAAAACAAGCAGAGATAGCATTATTTGCGTCCCAGCCCCGAAACACCTTGTTTGCAACATTGGATCAAGTCTAATAGAGCTGGTACAGCCCTTCCAGTCTTGTTTTTACTCAGTAATCACAAGGCCTCGAACAAGCATCAAAGGCAAAGTTTCTGGGTGGAAACGCACTACCTTTGCTCTCAGGGCAAGACTGAGAGCAGACTGTCACAAGACTTAGACCTCAGGCCTTCTCAGTGTTTGGTCAGTCCCAAGGCATTCTTCTGAATAGCATCAAGACATCAAATGTCTAGTGAATTATTCAAGCTCTAATAAATACCCTTCAAAATTTAAAATATGTTTTAAAATAGTCTTACTTTCACACGGTTTAACAGCACTGTAAGCAGTCTGACAGACTCCACTCTTCTCTGAGCTAGCAGGGATTTCCTTTCTTCCCATTCAGGCATATTCTCTGGCCACTGCTGTTCTTCAGCTGGTACCTTCTGCTGCTTTTGGGGATGTTTCTCATCTCCATCTATCTGCCTCTCTTCTCTCCTCTCGAGCTTAGCTTTCTTTTTTCTCTCTTGAACTTCTTTTCATCACCACGTCTTTTTCTAGGTAATTATCAATATGGGACAATTTAGATGACACTTGTTTTACATTTTGAGTCCTGGGGAATTGGATGCAAGTCTTTGAAGTGCTAATAATAAGCAACCAGTTGCCAAGAATTCACATGTGGCTAACAAGAAATCTTGTTTGTTAGAATAACATGTTTAAAAAAACATGGCACATAGGTGACACGCATCCAACTGATGCACACGTTTAGAAAGTTCTTTGTCTCTTCAAATGGTTTGCATTCTAGGGTTTTCTTTATAAGCACTGCCAAGATGACAGATTCACATCATCGTTTGCCTCCAAGGACGCAACTAGAGACTGATCATTTGGATCTAATTCTTAAATTAACAAATCTCCACTCCAGATTATCATGACAGTCCCATTTAAGAGAGATTACAAGACTATTTCCACTGTTGTAAAAATTAAAGTTGAAGCTGTGTGCTGGTTTTGGCTGGGGTAGAGTTAATGTTCTTCACAGCAGCTAGTATGGGGCTGTGTTTTGGATTTGTGCTGAAAACAGTGCTGATAACACAGGGAAGTTTTCGTTGTTGCTGAGCAGTGCTGACACAGAGTCAAGGCCTTTTCTGCCTCTCACCCCACCCCACCAGCGAGTAGGCTGGGGGTGCACAAGAAGTTGGGAGGGGACACAGCCGGGACAGCTGACCCCAACTGACCCAAGGGATATTCCACACCATATGACGTCATGCTCAGCAAATAAAGCTGGGGGAAGAAGGCGCGTGATGGAGCCCTGCTTTCCTGGAGATGGCTGAACACCTGCCTGCCCATGGGAAGGAGTGAATGGATTCCTTGTTTTGCTTCGCTTGTGTGCGCGGCTTTTGCTTTCCCTATTAAACTGTCTTTATCTCAACCCACGAGTTTTCTCACTTTTACCCTTACGACAAAGTGTTCACACAAATAAGTGTTTAATTTTAAGTATTTGAATAAGAAGGTATTAACAATGGAAGCATAGCAATGTTTTCAGAGACCTAGCATTAGAGTTGCTATGCTCCACGTTCTAAGTGTTGGCATTTTTTTAAGATATGAAGGTGCGCAACATGATTAATTACTAGTGACAGTTTAGGATACCATCCAAACACATTATCTATAGAATTAAAACTTCAATATACTACTATTACTCATATACAAAATTTAAGAACACTGCCCTGAAGATAACAATGAAAAAAATAACATGTAAAAAGGGGTAGAGGGAAAGGCAGAAAAGTGTTCATCTCTAGCTTTGGACCTTCCAGTCAACTGGGAGGCACCTAGAAATGTATGTCACATTAATTTTACTTCAGGGCATAAAGACATTAATTTGTGATGTTGCAGCATAGAGCAATACAAAAAGTCGACATACAGAATCTTAAGCAATCGAGCCTCAGAGCAATTTGAGAGCAACAGCTCTCCGATTTCACTCCAGGCCCACAGTATCACAGAATAATCGAATCTGAAAGGGACCTCAGGATGCCTCTAGTCCAACCTTTCTCATAACCCAGACCCCTCCATCTGATGCCTTACACACAGAATTATCACGATGCTTTTCTTTCCGACAGTAACACATAAATTAAAAACTACATAGTATTGCTTCAAGTTCTCCAACTCCTGCTTCCTCAAAGCCTGGATTTTTAAAGTAGCCACTCTTCCTGGATTTTACTTGGTATGAGATAGCGTAACAAATCTCAAAAATGGGACATTCTCTAAAAATACACTCTCACCTTTCAACCCCCTCTCTTTTTTTCCCCCTTTTTCGAACGTGCTCCTGTTCTTGCAGCTTTAGTCTTTCCAGGCTTCTCTTTCTTATGGCTCCTTCACTAAAATGTCTGGTTGTATCAAAAGACACCTGTCACAGAAGAAGCAGAATCAGACTTAGCAGTCCAGTTTGCTGTGTATTTATACAAACACAGACAACCTGCTGAGCAAATGAGAGACGCCGGGTGACTACCAAATACTACTACACTCATGAGAATGTTTCTCTCTACCCTGGCACACTAGAACATCTCTTCTGAAGTTCACACTGGGTTGTCAGTCAAGCTCAAACACCCCACTCCCAAATGTCTCCTCCTGCTGTGATATCAGGGGTTCACAATCTGACATCATACCTTTGGCCAAACCCGTTCCTGGCATGCTCTTCTGGGGACTCAAAGTTCAGTGTGTTCAGCAGAGCATTCCTAGCTGCAGGATTTGTGCAGTTCTGCCAAAACTAGAGTTCACTGACTCTCAGAGCAACATCTTTTGGATCAAATGCATATTTGCTTGCTTAAAAATTGATGAATTCTGTTGATGTGTGCTGCACTTAATCAGCTTCAAATGCCCAGATGTAAGCACATTAAAAGAAAACACTCAGCAAATTGCATCAAGGTCTATCTACACTGAAAAAATAAGTAATATGAAGTGTTATTTCCAGCATAGAGGTATATTTTAGGGTCACAGTTTAGAAACGACCTGCTGAGAAAAAATACCCAAACGGGGTACACCCTAATAAGTACTTAGGTATATTTTAGGGTCACAGTTTAGAAACAACCTGAGAAAAAATACCCAAACAGGGTACACCCTAATAAGTACTGACGGAGGTAAGCTATTAGGCTGCTGAAATTAAGCTTACAGATTGCAAGTTTTCTTTTATAATGCCACACTAAGCATAGCACTTAAATGGATTCATCCCTCAACATACTTAAGCAAAAAGGTACAGAGAAGAGAAGGGTACCCTTTACTAGCCAAGAACCACCTAAATTAGGGCAGCTGCCGCACCTACTTTTAACATGCTTAACAATAAGAAACCAAGTATCTTTCAAAGAGTCTCACCAGCTCCTGAGATCATCTCCCAATTTCAGTGCCAGCCACACTGAAAATATTTACAACTTTTACCTTACCCACACCAATTTTTCAGGAAATCAAAACAGTAAAATGCCATTTTTTGATTAAAGGACTTAAGTTCAGATACATGAACTTCATATATCAGTATCTCTATAGCCAGTACAAACAGGATAATCATAAGGTTTTTTCCCCTCACATGTTTAAGTGTCCAAAAAGTTTACAGAGAGACTTCCACTGGTTAGCAAGGACTTCTCAGGCCTAACTTCAAGGAAAAAAGAGCAGAAGTTGGCAAACCACCATCTGTTTCTCAAAATCTCAGCAGCTAGTAACAAATAAAGGTTAGTATATTTTAATGCCGTCCATATGCTATATTTTTCTTTCTTTTTAGCCACCATTTTAACATAAATACAGACTAAACCAAAGGAGGGGGGGGAGATACGTATACACAGAGAACTGCAGGAGTGCCACATAAAAGCTTCCACTGAAGCAACATGAAAAAAAGTCTGGAAGATGGTTGTCACAGGTTAAAAACTATACTGCCATTACTTGAGGAATGCCTGTTTGCCTTCAATATAGGAATCTACAGGGGAAGACAAGTGCAGTGCAAGAAGCTGTCTGGTAAAAGAGGGTGACTATACTTTATTCAGAATGATGAAGAAAAAACCTACATATGTACTGAAGGAAAAGCTAGTGTAATTAAAAAAAAAAATAACCAGGAATCTCTGGAAGCAGCAGCTACAGCACAGACTGCAGCACTGAACTGCTCCTGTTAAGGAACTGCTGCCAAATGCACTCAGAATTAACCACAACTTTGTAAGGCAAGGCTGAATATCTCAGGATTAATCTCTGAATATGGCCGTGTGTGTGTGTATATATATATACACATAGACACACCTTCAGTACCTCATACAAGCAAAGCAGATACACCCGAAGTACTTACTACAAAACTGAAAAAGTGAGTAGTCTCTAGAATCCTTTCTGCCCACCGTGCATTAAGATAAAGAGCTTCCTAAAGCTATCGATAATGTTAGTATCAACTACACTTTTCCCATCACACTAAGATTTGAGGTGCAGCAGGTTAACACATCCAGAACACTGCTGCTGAAACCTGTAGAGACATGAAAGTCAAGCCTGGAGCATACCCAAAAGCTTGTTCGGTTTTGCAAATACAGCTTCTATTAAACCAACCGATATTATCCTGCCCTTGCAAATCTTTCTTCACTTACATCCTTACACCATCATGGCTGCAACCACATTCCTACTACTGTAATAAATCACTTAAAAGTAAGCCCAAAAGTCTCTTCATAGAGCTGAGTAAGCTATAGCGGTTTGCCAGCGCAGACCATTACCCTTGCTCTTCCCCACTCTTCTTCATAGCCAGGAGCTCTTCAAGCATCAGAAATGTATTTCTCATCATGTAACTGTGTACAAAGCACAGAATTATTTACTGGCTGATCCACTGGCTTGCTGCTCAGCAGCATGGCTTTTTGGAATCAACCCTGACATATTAATAAGCTGTTATCTTAACTTTAGGTTTTAACTATTCCAACTGACAAATCACAAGGAATCTGACATTCAACCCCTTTACCAAATTATTATTTCATTTCCTTTTAGCCATTCTGCCATGGTTATAACATCAGGAACACATTTGCCCTTGCACTAGTGTTTACTGAGATAACTGCAGGCTGAACCGTCCTTTGCTACCTGCATGCCTTTCTTCTGTGATCACGTGTTCTGATAACACTGATACATACTCAAAACAACAAAAAAAAACCCCGTTACTTAAATGTATAAAAAGGAACCAAGATACTGACCTGAGACTCTACAGATCTGTGATCAATTCCCAGCTCTGCTGAGGAATTCCTGTGAAACTTCCTATGTCTCATGGGCCTAAAATAATACAGTATTTTAGAACAGATTCAAGCTGATCAGGACCGCAACAGGCCATCGGATCCCTTACTCTGGCCTGTGCTAACCATATTTGGCTGAAGCATCTCTTCCAGGAAGGCACCTGGCCCTGGTTTGCAAAGACGACGATACAAAAACCTACCACTTTGCACAGGCAGTTTGTTCCATTCCTTACTCATTTGCCATTTGAAATGGAAACCACTTCCAGATATTGATTTTTCTTAAGCCTTCCTCTACTAGATTCATATCCTTTTAGCATCTAGGTGGTTTTGTTCCCCCCCCCCCCCTTACATGTATAACTCAGGTGCCTCTCAGTCATCTTTCTTATCTAAAATACATAGCTTGAGCTCTTTGAGAGCTCTCTCACAGCCTCTCGTTGTGAGGCACTTTCTCCAGCCCCCGAGAAATTTTTGTTGCAATATTCTAACACTCTCCAATGTAAAACATATGAATCCCAAACCCGCACACAGTATTAAATTGGTCAGTGCCATACGCAGCAGATTAACTCCTTTAAGCTTACTTTCTATCACCACTTAAACATACTCCCCACAACACTGCAGTGGAAACCCAAGCTGTTACTGTTGTACTACAATAACCCTTTCATAGCCTTAAAGAAAGGCATGAGGATAAATCAGTAACTCTGAAATTATTTTTCTGAGTATCTGTATGATCCTTTTTACATTGACTAAATTATCTTAGAACACCCTAAAACGTGTCACCCAAGTTCATACTTTAAAACAAAATTAGACTTTAGGGAAACATTAACAGCCTGGCAATATCTAACCTGATACACCCATATAGTCCATATGAGCAAAATGCAAGTAGTGAGAATAATTTGATCCAAAGGTGCCCCTCACATTTGCTCACAACACCGCTAGCTCAAACAGCTCTTACCATCCCGTTTCCCAGCTGGTCACTCATGCCAGGCCCTGGGCCATCACAACTGTTTCTGAGACCATACCATCAACCGGGTCAGGAAAGAGATCTAGCTTGGAGGGAAAAAAAAACAAACAACAATAATCGTATTTTGCCAGGTTACTTTTCAGGCAGTTGGTTTCCCTGCCCTCATGCACAGCGCAGCCCCCAGGCAGTTCCACCAGCAGAGCTGAAGGAGTGCTCGAGGCAGAGGAAATATCTTAATTCTGCAGAGGTGGGTATGCAAGAGCACCTATGAGCAAATGGCAACGTGGCAGGAGTAATTGATCCATACTAGCAGAAAGAACTTGTCATGCAGGGAAAAGTGTTTACCAGAAAGAGTCACTTGGAGAAGTTTAAACAAGAGGTTTAAACAGCTTTTCAACAGTCGGGACTAGTTTATTCAGCTTGCTCTGCGCAAAATTAAGTGAAGAGCAGAGATGATCAGAAATTCTGCTGCTCACACAAATATCTCAATAAAGGGGGCGTTTTGAAACTAATGCTCCTAGCGTCACTACTTCATGCTGCGCGTTTTGAGGTGAGGATAATGCTTTGAAAAATGAGTCCTTGCCTACAAAAGTGCTAGTATATTTGAAAAACATACAGTTTGTGAATTAATTAGAGAATTAATTGTCATTATTCCTAAAAAACCTCCCAAAACATCCTTAAGTTTCTACAATTTTTGTTTTCCAGGTGAGAAGACGGACTCTACGTTCCATTTTGTTTTAATAATCATCATTCCATTAACAGTAGCAGTATCTACGATAATTCTACTAGTTTATCTAAAAAGGTAATTAACGATCTCCCTTTCTTTACAATCCACTAATTCTGATCGGTCTGTGACTTGCGTTACGATTCATCTTTCTTCCAGGTAACTGTCCGTGATGTGGCATGTTTCAGGAGCAGCTGTTTTATCCATGACATGCATTGCATAACAAAAATGGCAGCACCGTTGTGCCTCAGTCATTAGAATTAGGTTTATAGACCATACACATGCTCTGGTTGCACTTGGGTAACGTTGCTTATGTATGCTTACAGTTAGATTCTTGTTGCACAGCCATTGCATCCCCTCTCTTTAAGCAATGAAGCCCAAATTCAAAATTAAGCTTATATAGTATATTTTACCAGATTTTTTTAAAAAGTCTACTTTTGCTACTGTCTTTGTCAACAGTGAAAATTATTTAGAATCTGGCTGTGTGAATATTCCCACTTCCTTTTGGTTTGGGGAGTAAAAAGGAGAATTGGGCTACAGTTGCAGAGAATGAAAGGTGGTCAGTGATGTCAAAGCTGATTCTACAAATTTTCTTGACTGCACCCAAATAGGACATTGAAGTGGTGACTTTTAAATTAATACGTCTTTCATCTAAAGCTTTTCTTTTTAATTTTCTGAAGGCTGAAGATATTAATTCTTCCACCAATTCCAGACCCTAGAGAAATTCTTAAGCGCATGTTTGGAGAGCAGAATGAGGATTCCCAGGTTAGTAAGAAGCTGTTGGGCGAACTAATCTATTGAACCAGAATCTGTAGGCTTCCGATTTTCTTTTTCCTAATACTTATGTCTATCTTAAAACCAACTGTATATAAGTAAGTATATCATATGAAGATTAAGTATTTACAATAGTAAGAATTGTTCAGAAACAGTTACCCAAAGCTGAGAGGGATTTTTTTCCCTCAAATTTTCTAGATACATCAGTAGAATTGCATTATTCTGTTATTTCACAGACTGTTAATCCCTTAAATGTGTTTTGGGTTGCTTTGGGGGTTGGGGGTTTTGGGGGGGGTTTGGGGGGTTTGGGGGGTTTGGGGGGTTTGGGGGGTTTTTTTTTTTTAGGCTTCCCGCCCTGTTGAGTGACCTCAGCTGTAACCTGGGGATTCTCTCAACTGTCTTGTCCTACACAGACTTCTATGAGGAAATCCAGGTGTTCGTGAAAGATGTCTTTTCACCAATAGGGGAGAGACTGGGATGGGACCCCAAGCCTGGAGAGGGTCATCTAGATGCCCTTCTGAGAGACCTGGTCTTGGGCAAACTAGGAAAAGCTGGGCACAAGGCAACATTAGAAGCAGCCCAATGCTGATTTAAGGACCATGTAGAAGGAAAACATACGCTGTCAGCTGATCTGAGGAGTCCTGTATATGTAACTATTTTGAAGCATGGAGATAGTAGTACTTTAGACACTATGCTGAAGCTTCACAAGCAAGCAGACAGGCAGGAGAAGAAGAACCGAACTGAACAAGTTTTTGGAGCCATCTCTCAACCGGAACTGATTCGAAAAGTTCTCACCTTTGCACTTTCAGAAGAGGTACGTCCCCAGGACATGGTATTTGTGGATGTGGAGTAGCTGGAGGCAGCAAACGGGAGGAAAGCTGCTTGGAAATTTGTAAGGGACAACTGGGAGGAACTTTATAATCGATACCAAGGTGGATTCTTAATATCCTGCCAACTACACCAGATGTGTGAGCTGACACAGGCAGGACGCAGGAACAACCACAAAACCATGGATGAAATGCAAAGAGTAAATTTATTTTCGTTACCTCATGGAGCGGGGGATCCCCGAAGCAGCACCCGGGCAGAGGCACACAAGCCGGAACACAGGCACCATGGGGCTCAGTCCTTCCATTATTTTTCCCACAATAGACACACTTTCAGTATCTCATATAAGCAAAGCAGATATACCTAAGGAACAACCACAAAACCATGGATGAAATGCAAAGAGTAAATTTATTTTCGTTACCTCATGGAGCGGGGGATCCCCGAAGCAGCACCCGGGCAGAGGCACACAAGCCGGAACACAGGCACCATGGGGCTCAGTCCTTCCATTATTTTTCCCACAATAGACACACTTTCAGTATCTCATATAAGCAAAGCAGATATACCTAAGTACTTACTACAAAACTGAAATAGTGAGTAGTCACTAGAATCCCTCCACCAACAACCAACAACCACAAAACCATGGATGAAATGCAAAGAGTAAATTTATTTTCGTTGGAGCGGGGGCCTACACAGACTTCTATGAGGAAATCCAGGTGTTCGTGAAAGATGTCTTTTCACCAATAGGGGAGAAACTGGGATGGGACCCCAAGCCTGGAGAGGGTCATCTAGATGCCCTTCTGAGAGACCTGGTCTTGGGCAAACTAGGAAAAGCTGGGCACAAGGCAACATTAGAAGCAGCCCAATGCTGATTTAAGGACCATGTAGAAGGAAAACATACGCTGTCAGCTGATCTGAGGAGTCCTGTATATGTAACTATTTTGAAGCATGGAGATAGTAGTACTTTAGACACTATGCTGAAGCTTCACAAGCAAGCAGACAGGCAGGAGAAGAAGAACCGAACTGAACAAGTTTTTGGAGCCATCTCTCAACCGGAACTGATTCGAAAAGTTCTCACCTTTGCACTTTCAGAAGAGGTACGTCCCCAGGACATGGTATTTGTGGATGTGGAGTAGCTGGAGGCAGCAAACGGGAGGAAAGCTGCTTGGAAATTTGTAAGGGACAACTGGGAGGAACTTTATAATCGATACCAAGGTGGATTCTTAATATCCTGCCAACTACACCAGATGTGTGAGCTGACACAGGCAGGACGCAGGAACAACCACAAAACCATGGATGAAATGCAAAGAGTAAATTTATTTTCGTTACCTCATGGAGCGGGGGATCCCCGAAGCAGCACCCGGGCAGAGGCACACAAGCCGGAACACAGGCACCATGGGGCTCAGTCCTTCCATTATTTTTCCCACAATAGACACACTTTCAGTATCTCATATAAGCAAAGCAGATATACCTAAAGTACTTACTACAAAACTGAAAAAGTGAGTAGTCTCTAGAATCCTTTCTGCCCACCGTGCATTAAGGTAAGAGCCCCAGGAGGTGCTGGCGGCTGTCCGGGCCACGGCTTCCCGCCCCACAGCTTCCCACCCTGCTCTTCATCCCTGAGGGCCCACACAGCAGAGGCCCGTGGCCGTCCTGCATGCCTGCCCTCGGATGGTGCCCACCTGCTGGCAGGTGTCTTCAGCCTGTGGTCATCATGTATGTGTTGTATTAAAAAAAAAACAAAGAGAAAGAGTTACTTCCTCGGCAGTTGGCTCGCTTCGCAGTGCGAAGGCCTAGTTACAGGGGTATGCTGCAATACCATGTTTTTCTTTGTCCTGTAACAAAGGTAGCTCATCCAGCACTGCTTCTTCTGGGCAATATGTGTGTGAGGATTAATACCAGCTTTTCTCTGTTTTTAGTACTAGCTCATACGTGTTTAACCAGTGGGAACGCGGTGCCTGTGTCTCTTAGTACTGTGTGGCAGTCAGCTCCCTGCAGCGGAGCAGCTCCCAAGGGTGTCGGCACCTCATCAACAAGCTGTTGAAGTCCACACTTTCCGGCACTTGGTTGTTCTTACTTTAAGGTCCCCAAGGGAATTCAGTTTAGGGCAGTCATTCACTTAAATACTCTCTTAGTTTTCAGTGGTTTTTTGTCTCTCGCGATCTTCTAAACACAACTGTAAAACATGGTACATTTTATATCCTTTCTCCCCCTTCTTAAAAACAGACACATTAATTTCTTCCTTTGTGGTAGTATGGTTGTAACTACGATGGTCGATGATCGTAGGACACACACAAGGCTAGGGCTGCAGGCAGAGGTGTGTACCAAGCACTTCTTTTCTCAGATGGTCTAATTGCTATGTATGCAATTACAACCTGAGAACAATTGTTACGGGTATATTTAGTGTGGGAGTCTATTTCTGTTACAACTTTGTGTGCCAAAAAGCATGTCTGCGTTTTCTCACTATACAAGTTGATACGATAAAGATACTACCTTTACCTGCAAACGTTTCTTGGGTCTAGTTGCCTTCTTCACAGTTGTTGGTTCTCCTTGCATTAGGAAGGTTTTCTAGGAGTCTATTATACACTGACATTTGTTTGTGTTTATCTTAAAAGATAAAATTGTGTTTTGATGGTACAAAAAGTTACAATCAAAGATACTGTCTTTAAGTTACGTGATTTTTTCCTTTCTACGTATATTTTTCCAAACCCAAACAGGCAAACTGGAATTTGAGATCAGTTTGCAGCTGCAGGGTCA